TAATAAGTGATAAAAACTTTCATAAAATACATTAGCCATTTTTATTCAGTTAAAAAACACAACACTTAGAGCTAGGCATAAAAAGTGGTGAAGTTGTGAAATGGTTTAAGCTTAGCTTTCAAAACCAATGTAATACACGTGGTAACACTGTAAACAGCAGGTTTTCTAAGTATAAAGACAAGCTAGGACATGCTAGGATCAGAAAAAGAGACATAAACTAAAACCAGGGATCTTCCAACACAGTGAAGAATTAGGCAGATAACTACATACCGAATAATATGCATGAAGATTATTTTCTATTCCTACCAAAATAAGCATCATGTTTATCTGTTTTCACCTAAAATACATGAGTTTAGTCAATCTAGATTCTGCAGAAAGGTGAAAGGACGCAATTGCACTTAAAGATGTTTGCAGGGAAAAGCCCTGGTACAGTGTGGTTAACAGCACTGGGCTGCAAACCAACAGGCTAGTGGCTGGAGCCCACCAGTTGCACAGGGATCTAAAGATTAGGGTCTGAACCCTTTGGGCATTTCTCTGTCCTACAGGGTATCCCTAGGATACAGAACCAACTTGACAGTGCTAGGTTGTTGGATTTTTGACTGATTGATTGTGATGTGATTGCAGTAAATAAGGGCTGGTTCTGACACTCTGATTACAGAACTTTCTCATTCAACATGAACTTTCCCAGAGTGCTTTGTGTGGAGCACAATAGTACTGTGTTCTACGTAGACAAATAGTAAAAATTATGTTTCTAGTCTCAGACAAGTTTTAGAGTAGCTGGAGAAGACAAGAAAACATGATCACAATACTTAACTAACTTTAAATAATTTTTAAACATAGGATACAAGTTGGTACTAAAGACAGCACTGAATGTATATTAACTGGAAAAATATATACATATACATACATCCATATGTACCCCTCTATACCTATCTTGTCTAAATCTGTGAGAACTCACAGAAGTCCTGGTGGCACAGGGTTCATGCACTGGGCTGAAACCACCAGCTGCTCTTCAGGAGACAGGGGCTTTCTACTCCCATACAGAATGAGTCTCAAAAACCCCCAGGGGCCCTTCTATTCTGTCCTATGGGGTGGCTATGACTCACAATTGACGTGATGGCAGTCAGAAGAGACCACAGAGTAAGAGCAACATTACCTTCCATGAGGACACAAGGGGGTACCCCAAAACCCAGAATTGCACTGCTTTTGTAGTATGCATTTTTCCTGCTAGGCGGGCACTGAGCAACTCACTCTGAGTTAGTGCACCCAGTGACGTTGCCTGGGAAGGTGCTCTGCAGTCACAGTGAATTTTTTGTAAAAATCGTTTCATTTGAACTTTGTTTTTTGTGATGGCTGATTTAAGGGAACAGCGCATGGTGTGTGAAATTCTATTTCCTGCTCGGGAAAAATGCCACAGAAACTGTTGTGATGTTGAAGTTTACAGGACAGTTTACAAGGACAGTGCTATGGAAAAAACTCATAATATATGAGTGATTTTCTTGTTTCAAAAAGGGTGAAATGTCAAGTGATGACAACTCTCGTTCTAGATGTCCATCGACGTCCCGAACGAACGAAAGTGTCAACTTGTAGTGTATTTGGAGTTCGTTCCACCAGGTCAGACTGTTAATCAA